CACAAATAACACATTGATTAACTATAATCACCATTTATTTTCAGTGATTTTATATACAAACATTTACATTGTTGTTTGATATGATTTTATACTAAACGCAAGCATGGGGATTTTGTTGACCGGCTGTCACAAGACAGAAACAAACATTTCAATTGTTAAAATTAGGAACATAGCTTCCTGTTCTCTCAAAGTGTTTTTTAGAAAAGTGACATGGCTAATAAAGGAGACAGCTTCCTCTATTCAGACCTGGACCAGAGACTCAGACCAGGACCAAGGTTCAGGACTTGGACCAGACCCAGACCTGGTCTTGTCGCCACTTCCACATCGGGGGCCAAAGACTGACGAAGCCACGCCCCTTCTGCACATTTTACTTATGCTATATGTGATGATGTGTTGGTCAGTCTGAGCGGGGATAGAACGTTCAGAGTGCCTGATGACCTCATAGTTTAGGCTCGTAGGAACAGTTACTTTTTGGCTCAGCTCAGAATTAGATGGAATAAGAGCTCCGAAAGTTTTGTATTAATCGTCTTATTTCTGTCTCAAATTCTGAGTCAAGTAAGTCTTTTTTTGACAATAGGAGGAGTTTGAGACATACACTGTAGTCCACTGGGAGGAGACCCTGGGACTGCTGGAGGGACTATGTCTCTCTGCTGGGTTGGTGACACCTCAGCATTACCCCAGATGAGCTGGAGGAAGTGTGTGTGGATAGGAAATTCTGGACATCTCTGCTTAGACAGCTCCCCGCGCAACCGCAACGAATAAAGCAGAACGAAACAGATGGGTCGATGGATATTGTTCTGATAGTGTTATTCCAAAAGTTCACAGCGACCGTGGTCAAATGTCACAGCTGTTTTCTATCAATGCCCCTGTTCAATCGTTTTCTTATCAGAATCTGTGATAACCAGATTATTCAGCAGTATTGCACAAACAGCATTGTACAGGCATTTTGGCTCGGATTTGTCAGATGCGCATGTCTGCCGATGTTGTGTTTAAGGGCAGAGTTGAGAGCTATGCGGCTGAAATGAATTTGAAACTGTTAACAAAAAGGATGGCTCATGGATATTACGTCTAACGTCATGTAGCGGGTCGATGGTGCCACACAGTAAGGAGAGTAGTGGACGCTGAAGGTATTTAACTAAAATGTTGAAGTGAATGAGAAGTTTGACAGTCAACGTCTCAGTTTTATCTCCTTAACTGTCAGTATGTTGTTGCTGGATGATTTTCTGTCTTTTGATTTTAGTAAAGTCAATAATCAAGATTGAGCAAAGTCGAGTTTGGGATGGCATGATATTTGGTCCAGCCCTATTCGGAAAAAATTATTTGGTGTATGAACGCCTTAGTGTTCACAAAACTACATAGACCCAGCGATTAAATGTGATTGACAGCAACTCTGACCAATCACAATTGACGACAGCAGATGATAGATATTTTAGTATTGACTCATTTTGGTTTGAACCAGGGCTGAGTCGTTACTAAAAAAGTACCAGGTCGCAGTTTTAGCGTGCCATTGGAAAAGCCTTCTAACCGAGGAGAGTGTAGTTATGACGGTGAAAACAGCTCATATGTTTTATGCCAGATGGAATTAGAGAACTACCATATCCAGGTCACATTCTATCTACACACCACATGTTTGCATGTCGCATGCCTACACACACACTAAACGATAACCTTTTGTTAGCCGGGATAGAATGATCTAAGGGTGTCCTAGATTATCCCTGGACAAACAGCCTGGAGCAGGTTGTGTCTTCTTTAATTTTCCCGCCCATGTATCTGTTCTAACTGAATTCAAAAATGAAAACCCAGATCATACATGTTGGGTTCCAAAACAGCGAAAAAAGTTGATTATCTTGATATACAAAAACAGTGTCCAGATTTGTTCCGCCTCCATGGATGCTGAATACAAATGTTACTTGGCATAAAAACAAATTTCTGTGAAGTGGAAGTCTGATTCTCTTCTGTGTTGTATTTTATTTTACTGTGTGGGTTTTGAAATGAGCAGCGTTGTGGCTCTGGGGAGGACGGCTGTGGCACATTAGAATATAGCAGCTTATCTGGATGATGTAAGTGACCTTTATGTCCCGCGCACATAGCCTCTCAGTAGGTGCTTGTATTTGGATGATTTGCACCCTAATGAGCTCACAATGATCATGTTAGAACACTGATGCACAGAAATGGGAAGCCTCCGATATTGTAGCAGTGAAGGAGAACCAATAACTTTCAAACCATAAAAGTGTCATTAATAATAAAAATAATGCATCGGTTTTATATGGCGCTTTTCAGGACACTCAAAGACGCTTCACATGTCTTTGATTCCATACATGCTTCATTCTTTCACTCCATCTCACAGTGGTGAGAAACTACTACGGTAGCCATAGCTGCCCTGGGACACACTGTCAGAAGCCAATATGTGCCATCGGCTCCTCTGACCACCATCAACCATTAACACACATAACAGAATCATTCTAGGCCATGTGGGTGAAGTGTCTTGCCTAAGGACTCAACGACAGTTTGGTACTTTACTGCCGCAGCCGCCCCACTGTGGCACCTGGTGTTCTCAGTGGTCTCCCATCATAGTACTAACCAGGCCCTGCCCTGCACTGCTCCAGAGGTCTGACAGGATCTGGCTTCTGCATGCAACTATGGTCTATGAACAAGGCTCTTTGTTTAAAAACATATAGTCTTAAAAAGCCGTTAACAAATCAAACACAGAATGTTATCTCTTGCATACTTTAGCATTATAAGTCACTATTTGACTTGCTCAGCTGAGAGCTGATTGGCTTGGTGAGTGTGGTCCTCTCTTTTTTACTCTCTGTCTGAAAATGCTGCTCTGAAGATGTGACCAAAAAGATGCAGGTGAAAACTAGTGTTTTCAGAGTAATAGTAAGCAGTAAATTAATCTTATTAAATTGTTCATGATTTCTGTACCTCAGCTTTAAAGAATCTACACCAGATCTTTTGTCATAAAAATGCGTATTACTACGCAGATGTTTGACCTATGAAAGAAGAAATCAAGCCCGGGTGAACATAGCTAGCTTACATTGTATCTTCTGGAGAGACTTCTATGGGAGAGACCTACGGCTGCAGACCGCCTCGGACTATTTATGCTCGGACCACATTCGGACGCAAAACTAGTGGTAATCTTTCGGTTATATATTTTGTTAGCAGTGCGTTGCTTTTGTACCATTTCATCAGTGATTGTTGTACAGCTTACAAGGGGTTGCGCTCATGCTAATGCTTGCATATGTAGCAGATCGCAAATAAAATAAGATGGCGCCGTGGGATGAGAGCGAGGGGGAAATGAGAAGCCTGAGAGCGAGTTGGGGGCGGTGCTAAACATTCAAACTGGAAAAAAACCTGAAAAAACGGGTATAGCTCCTTTAAGTAGGACACTTAAAGGACACTCGTATTTGAATTCATTTGATTACAGAAATTGCCAGAAACATTTATGGGCAATACTTTAGTTTCAAAATAGAAAACAGCTCTGTCCATGTCATACAGTTGTAAGGATTCGTCAAAGCGTTCCTGCTTTGAAATAGAACCACAATGGACATGTTGGTTAAAGCAATATTGCACATGATAAAAAGCTACATATTTCATGACTCGTGTCCTTGAACGCAGCTCAGTAAAAGACCCTGCTTTGTCAGTGGACATGGACAATGACAAAAGGTGCAAAGCCAAAAGCAGATGAAAGAAGCCGGGTCACACTCTGGCTGTCATCTCGGCACAGCCCGGGGCCCTGCATATTTCCATATCTGTTTGTATATTTGCATAATTAGTGTAATGAAAGAAGCGCTGTTGTCAGGGTTCAGAGCGTGACCTGCTGCTGAACCCTCTACCTCTGCATCTTAGATCTGGTGTTTGTGAAAACTGAACCAGACCTTTGTGGGAGGAAAGTTTACAGCAGAGGCGCAAAGTCCTGTGGAGAGTTCACAGTAGGTCAAGAGAATGCGCATATTTATACAAAACCCAAAAAGTATCTCATTTTGCGCAGCGTGGGTGATTGTAAACTTGCTCGCAAAATGACTCCTTTGTGTTTTGTTTTTGGGGTCCTTTCAGAGGCTTGGGCTGATTGCAAATAATTAAAACCGTGTAAAAAAAAAACATACATTCTATTTAAATGATTTGTGTATAGCGCTAAATCACAACAGCATTTATTACAAATGATTTTACAAAGTTGTTGATTCGCCAAAACAGATCAGAAAATCAAAACAATAAGATTAGTTAGACTTTTTTTTTTTTTTTTTCAGCTCCCAACAGCTAAAAGCTTGTTGGGAGCTGGAAAAATAAAAGTGCTTGTGTATGTACAGTATACTATAAAGGTATTTGTACATAAGATACCCTTTATCTTTTCACTTTTTAACATGTTTCTCCTTCATGAGATCAATAAAAAATAAAAAATATTTCTATGTGACATGAATTTGGAAATTATTGTCTGGATAGATGTATCTGCTCGAATTTGTTCAGTTACTGTTTGGGTTGAACCAAAATGGAACCGAAGTTAAAGAAGGCTTGTAATTGTAGACTGATACATGTTTTTAAAGGGTCCAACGATTTCCAGGGTTCATATTTGAGAAAACAGTGAACTATGTGGTGGTTTTCTTGAGAAAACTCAGGACTTCTTTTAAAATCACAAACCATTACGGCCCTTTGAATGACAGACTAATACTACAAGTTATTTTCTGTCCCTTCAAGAACAATTTCTCTTACTGTTGTGGTCAAGTAGGACCCAGAAAACTCTCGTTCCAACACCGGTGTGCACATTATGGAAGTCCCGGACGGTCTTGCCCGTGGAAACACTGTCAGTACACATCGACTGCAGCAGAGATTGAGACGCCGACCTTTCCAGCAAACATGACTCCCAGCGCCACTCCTGTCATACGGATATATGCTTTTTTTATCTTACGGCTTCAGCTCTTTTTTCATTTCCTGTAGGGTTGTTTTGCAATGTATGTGCCGTGTCCATGCTACGGTGCGACTAGCCTGCTTGGTTGTATGGGGGCATGGTGGTGAGTGGACTTTTTTTTGTATTTGAAATGGCACAAACAATTTTTATATGAAGATTAACTCGTCTTTTATCTCATGGGTCAATGCAAAAACTACTATAATCCACTCTTGCTTATACATTGAGTGACACGTTTTGCTGATACATGTTTCAGCAAAACCAACTAACCAATATAGCGGTAATTTAGACATTTATATGTACAGTAGATAGATAGATACTTTATTGATACCCCGTAGGAGAAATTCAGGTGTCCAGCAGCAGAAAACTCATCCAGGTCTGTTGTACAGTCTGACAGCCGATGCGCATTTTCCTTGAAATTGTGTCCAAATCCACCCTTAGTTTTTAGCGTTTTGTTGCTCACAGACAAACAGACAAATGCCATTGATGACATTATCTCCTGGGTGGTGGTAATAATACTAAACTATTTTATAGGTTGCTGCTTACATGAGGGTCAGGTGAGGCAGGTTATAACTAAGCTAGATAATCTAAAACATTGTCACATAAAATAAATGTATTTTAAATAAATAATAAACAAAAACAAAAAACCTTGCATGTTTTTAATGCACTAGACACGCACAAAAAACAAAACAAATGAATAAATGAAATAATACAAATAATAATAATAATACAAAATAAGCAAATAAATATGTTGTCATATAAACAGCCAAAATACGTTACTGGGATCTGTGGAGACAGCAGGTGGCAGCACTCATTATTTTTGTTTTATTTACTGTTATTGTTCTGTTTTTCTTCTTCAGACATATATGGTCATACATTTATACATATACACAAACACTCAAATACATTAACATCCACACTTACACATTAGCACCTACATATTTCCACGACAGTACTTGCTTGTTGTTTATTTTTATTAAGTATTTTGTTTTCTTTGTTTCATGTTCTGGATGCCTTAAAAATGCCCCACCATGTAGCTCACAGAGTTTTCTTTAAAGCTCACTCTCAAAACAGTTTGTTTCTATCACCAATTTTCATAAGCATGTCTGTATGTTTGCAAAAGCAGGAAGTTTTCTAATATGATGTAGACAGAATGTTATTTTGACATGTATTTTTTATGAAAAAATTGTTAGGTACTCCAATTGTTTTACTATACGATTAAACACTTATATTTATAATTAAAACGTGATTGAAATAGATAGATAGATAGATACTTTATTGATCCCTGCAGGATAAATTCAGAAAAGTGAACAAGCCTAGTTTGCACACTGGGTCCACTGTTTGTCTTCCAAAACTACTACTACTACTATTACAAAAGGTTTTACAATTATTACTTTTTTAAACTCAGTATTATGAAAAGAAATAGAAGGTAGGGAATTGTTTTATTACAAGATGAAACACTTATAACAAATCCAAATTTTCACACTGGGTTCAACACTGGGTCCCGCTGTATTGTCTTCCAAAACCTTCTTCTTCTTTCAATCTACCCAAGGCAGAATTGGGCAACTCTACAAACTGACTACTTTTCCTGCAGAGAAATGGGCCTTGAGCTGAGAATGGAGCCACAATAGCATCATTTGTACCTGGCTTGTAGTTGCAGCGGTAGTGGGAGTGCCTCTGTGTGCGCTGACCTCCTCTGGCCCCTTTCTCGGTCCAGGACAGAGCCTTGGGTCCTCAGGCGGCTCGCACTGATGCAGCCCATCTGTTCTCAGACAGGTACAATAGTGCTCCAGCTTCAGTCGATCTGCCACGGAGCCTCAGCTGTCCAGGCATCAGCTGGGTACACATATATATATATATATATATATATACATATACTGTGTGTGGTCAGTCAGGCCGAGAGGGGCCCAGGCTGGAGGCCAAGCTGACTGAATCGATTGAATTGCTGTGCAGCTGAAGAGTGGATGGCGATCCGGAGTTTTTATGGTGGAACCAAAGAAACCTGTGTGAAGTATTTTTTTACATGGATTATATTACACATTTATTTTGTCCTGGTTTCAAAGTTAGGGTGAGGTTAGGGTGAGGTTAGGGTGGGGTTAGGGTGGGGTTCGGGTGAGGTTGGCTTCCTGGAGGGTGTAGTAACATGATTTTCGAGAATCCCACAATTTAAATGTTAGCGTCCTCAGGGCTTCTTCTTTTCATGTGTGCCCTACAATATAAAAACCTGTGTCTTAAATTCTACTGCGGTCTCTTTATGCACATTTTTTTTTATGTTAAAATGTTGCAGGTGCAGGAAATAAACAGGTCAAACACCTGTGTAGTACAATGCTCTTTTATCTGTGCCACTGACACAAGGCCAACATGTACATATCCTACTTGGCCTTTATTTATTCATTTTAAAAAGTACAATGGACATGATGTCAATAATGTGTATTGTTAATGGTTTTCAACAATGGTATAATAAAATCCATCTAACGAGTGGCTGGCTCAAAAACGGTTTGGTTCCACCTCTAGTTCTCACATATATGTATTTTTGGCATCTGTCAAGTGAGCGGACCACCCCCACTCAGCCAATCACCTCTCATCCTGAAGAGCCAAATACTGACTCACAGCTGAAAAATAAAGACAGAATGTTATGGTCTCTTTTGTCAACCTAAAAAATCAAATCCTCCACCGTCTAAAATTGCACCTTTATTTCCAAACTTTGCTTCCACTCTGACAAAAATCAAATCCTCACACAGAGCTGACTCATCACTCCCCTGTTCACCGCTTCTGCCTTCACACCCCCTTCATACCCCCCTCCTCCACTCTTGTTATGAAGACGTCAACGCCGCATCTCCTGCTGGACACGCATCACTCATCCGCACGCACCGCCGGGTCACAGGTCCCTGCTCTCCGCCTCGTCCTCGCACCCCCGCTCGTCTCTCTGTGCCTGAGCCGGTGTTTGGTTCCCGGAGGTGAAAAAAACATCAAGTGAGCAGCTATTGTTCCCGGAGCCACGGGAGACGATTCCGGCTGAGTGAACTGCTTTGACCTGAGCCCAGTTGTTAGACGCGGTAAAAACAGGGATGTGGAGTTGTTGCAGAATGGAACAAAGAGAAGCACTTTCGGAGACTATTAATGTGTTATGGAGTAGATCTTTTGTGCTTTTCAAGTGCAGTAATGGGACGGTTACTGGCCCAGCTCCAGGGAAGGGCTGTTGAGGTTGAGATAGGGCATGGCCGCAGCTCTGTTCTTAATTGACAAGCCATTTTAGTTGTGTTTATAGTCCCAGGCAAGACAGGTTTATAGAAAATGTCTGAATAAGTGAGTCTTTGTTGCTTTTGAGTGAGATCCGTTTGCAAGGAGCGAAATGGGAGAAAGCAGGTTCTCCTAGTTACATGAGGAACGTAAAAGTGATACTGTGGAGGGCTTTAAAAACTAATAAAGGTTTGAAAGTCAATATTCAGTTAGGTGTAATTTCTAGATTTAACCCATTTTTTCCCTTTGGCCACACAATTGTAACTCCATCCATTCATTTTCTTCCCCTTAATCCATTTCTGGGTTGGGGGGATGGCAGTCAGAGCTGCACCCAGTACACATAGGCCAGGCCCTCACTGATGCTCCTGCAGTTGGTGAGTCCACAGGAGCCTTGATCTTCATTCATTTTTCGAATCAGCAAAAAAAAAAAAAAGTGTTGTCTTTTTTATACACTTTATTTTTAATACATTAAAATTTATAAAATCAAATTAAAGTGCACAAGGCATATTTTCCCTACTGAATAATCAAGACTCCTGTGGATCAGTGAGGGGCTGGTGCTCTGTGGGTGCAGCTCTGACTGCCCTGATCAAGAAATGGATTAAGGGGAAGAAAATGGATGGATGGATGAAGGCATATTCCATCCATCCAATTATGTCTTTTTAACATAATTAATGAAAAACAACACAAAGTGCAACATAAGAAGGCACTTTATGAGGGTATTTACCCTCATATATTAAACCACCTTCCTGATTCTCCCAAGGAGGCAGTCCATCCTGGGCCCAGTCCAGCCTCATTCACTGCATTTATTTGATTTTTGGCATTATCAGTTGTGACAGGGATATTAGTACTGGGCCTTTGTCTTCCATTCCTCCACTGCTTGTGTCAGTACCTGCGCTGTGTGCCTGTGTGACTTTCATAGAGGGGGCGTGTCTACAGCGACAGACTTTTCATCTCCCAGTCTGCTGTGATGAAGTGAGCGGTTATCGTAACATAGCTCTCCGTCCTCGCTCCCCCGCTCATCTATAGGTTCTGCGGGACGTCCAATCGTCAGTCGTGAGTGCAGCTGAGGATGTGCGGGAGAGTTGACTTTAGCCCTGTCCAAAAGTGCAAAAAGAGGCTGCTTAAATGCTGCGGCAATAAGGGGTCGATGAGACGCTTTTTTTTCACTCATGTCTTTCTTGTTTACACATTGTGACAGTTAATCATCAGTATAGTTGACAGGGAAGCCAAAATGAACCCATACAGGGGATTTAAATGACGCTGGCTTCTCAGTTTCTCCGCTCGCCATGACCACGCTGTGTGTGGACTGAAAAACATAGTGGGAGCGCATAACTTTTTTTACATAAATCAAACCGCGGATCACATCTGTACCGAACCGAAGACGTTGATCAGAATGGATCACAGAGGAACCGAATCTTTCAGCAGGGGCTTTGGGCAAAGTGGGGTTAAGTGTCTTGCCCAAGGACACAACAACAGCAGTCATCAGTTGGAGTCGTGAAGTAGGTCTCAAGGTGGATTTGGGCCTGAAGGTGGAACCTTCAGGCCCAAAGGCCGATGCTCTACCAAATGAGCTACTGACGCCACAATATTGTAACTTTATGGCCAAAATATAGACTTGAACAAATACTGAATATACTGGGGGGCACAAGGGGTTAGAGCTTGTGCTTCGCAGCAAGAAGGTCTGGGTTCGATGCCACCTCCAGGCTTTTCTCTTGGAGTTGCATGTTCTCCCTGTGTCTGTGTAGGTTTCCTTAGGCCTACACAGACACAGGCCCCGGCTGTGGTCTCTGATCCCCGGGGCCTAGACACTAGTGGTGGCAACAAGACAAAGTGAATGTGAGAGTGAAGAAATCCTGAGGTGGGGAAGAGGTGGTTGCAGCTTGAAAGTCTGTTTGATGAGCTGTGCTCTTCTTTGCTCTTTAACGCTTGCTTGATTGACACGGCTGCAGGGAGTTGATGAGTCGATCATGACAGGCTGAGTAAGGCGTGGGCTAGCCTGGTGTGATAACGTAGGTAGTCTACCATCCTGAAGCCCGCTTAAGCTTCATTTCATTAAAGAAAATTCTGAAACACTTGTAACTAAGACACCTAGCATGTGCAAAAACAATGAATACTCCTTAACATCAATTACTCCTTAACATCACATCACTAACAACTCCTTAACAAAAAAAACTTCAACAGAACACTACACAAAGGCATTTACAAATAGAGCATTTATAAGATAAGGACATTTATGGGCATTGGTTTTCTGCCCCTTATAGACCAACGGCTCCTTTGAGTTTGTCATTATTGCATTTCCTGTGTTTGGACTGTTTGATTCTCTGATCTGTGTTAGCAAATTGACAACTTTGTAAAGTCCTGCAGATAGATTTGAAAAATCGCTAACCAATCTATATGTTACTGGGATTAAAAATCATACCCCGGATCTATTTCTTTGATTTTACAGCATATCTGCACTGGGACAAATCTAATAGTGTGTTCTTTTTAATGTGCCTTCAGTTTAATACATTGTAATAAAATATAAAATGAAAATTACATACTGCACTGCATCTGTGCTATTGTTTAGCCTTGATTTATGACCTGTTAAATTACGCACCATGCTATAAAATCCATACCTTTGAAAAATCCTTCGCAGTCTGAATTTTGCACTGAATTGCCTTTAGGTGCACACATGACCTTCCCGCACGGTCTTTTACAATTGAATCAAATAAATGAATACTCTTAATTATGATTACTGTAAATTCTCACACAGTATAGCCATAATACTGACAAATGTCAAATCTCATAAGACTCCTTATTCTCCTGACATCACAAAGGAAGTGAAAATATTAGTGGATTTTTATTAGAGCTGGGGTTTATATAATAACGTCTAATGAAAAGATAATGTGAGGGCAGAGGGTCACAGGCTGCTTCAGACACATTCATTTTCTGGGCAATAGAAGATGATTGAACGAATCAATGGGCCCTTTTACGTCCTATTCAGTGATATGACCCAATATGTGTGCTCAAGTGTGGAGGGAGAACATCTGTGCAGGCAGAGGAGGTGCACAGGGAGCTGCTGGTAGTGTGTGTACTAAAGCATGCACACACACATAACACATTACACAGAGAACTTTTGCACATGTTGGCATAATACGACCGTAAACATAAATAACCTAAAGGTAGGGAATGTATTTATTGCTTTAATTATCAATTTATTGTCTGTAAGAATGTATTGCTGTAATCCTATGTTTTAGCTGGTAAGGCCAATAGGGATAGGTGGAGGATCAGGTAACTAAGTATGTAAGTAAGACAGTGTTATTTATTTTTATAGCACTTTTCACAGACAAGAATCAAAAAGCTCTTTACAATTGTTGTGGGCATTTATCTCTCACTTCATACAGAGGGCCAGACCTGTTGAAATTTTTTTTAGTGGTAAGGGAAACCGGAGCACCTGGAGAAAACCTTCTCAGAGATGAACATGCAAGGGATGATAATGCAAACCTTCTAACCAAACTGCCACCGTGCCGCCCAAGGTAGAGGTTGAGGAATTAAAGGAGAACACAGTAACTGTAAGTGGGTCATGCACATCTCTCTGAGTACAGCCCTAAATCAAATTGAAAGCTGTTGAAAGACCTGAAACTACTGTTCATAAAAAAGCCTGACACAACAATTACTATATCAACCCATCGTTCAATAACCGACTGATAAAACTATTTATTTTGGGCGTGGATAGTTATTATCATTACAAATATTTTCTTTGTGATAGCTTGTTCAGACGATAGACCGTAAATAATAACGGACGTAGTCACGCCTATCTCCGCCGTTCCAACTAATGTGCCACCACTTCTATGGTCACTTTCAAAATGGCAGCGGGGGCAATAAAATGTGAAAAAACGCATGCGTCAGCCGGCATAAGCCCCATTCATTTAACGTGTGCTTTCAAAAATTCACAGCGAGTAAACTAGACTGATCCGCCCCCACTGGTTCAGACCGGGTTGACAGCGCATCAGGACCACATGCAAGGTCCATGGTGTCAATCGCAGCAGGGTGAAAACAAGGCATTTACACCTAAAACGAGGTATTCACACCTAAAATGCCTCATTGCAGAATGTTAGCCTCTTCATTCCAAATCAGACATGCATGTTTAGTGAAACCATGTCCCTGACCACATCTCTGACCATGTGCTGGTGGGCGGGCTTCGACGGCATATCAGTTTGAGCTCGAAGCTTTGTGTGTTTTTGATAAAGTACACAAAGCAAAGTGTCTGGATCCTGTCATATTACAGGAGTACCACCATTTTCTCACGGTGCTGCTCCAGAATGAGCATTCTGTCAGTGCGATTGTCTCAGCAGCACTTCAGTCCCGGTAGAAGGTGAATTCCGAATGAAAGCATACAACCACGATCATGTCCTCCATTGTGAGTCCTGGTTTAGTCCCTTTTCCCCCGCTCCCATCCCTGTGAGGAGCGAGAGGACAATTGCCCAATAAATAACAACTGTAAACTGCTTTGTGACTCTGGTCTGTGAAAGGCTGTATATACATAAAGATTACTTACTTACTTACTTACTGTTTAATCCTGGTTAAGCTCTTGTTTGGCTGTTTTCGAGTGTCTTCCTCCTCTGCCACTGACCTGCTTCTGAATGTTGCCGCCTGCTTCGCCTGCCAAGAAGTTGAACATCGTCCAACTCCGGTCTGGCCTGTGACCTTCGACGCACTCTGGAGGTCCCTCTGCATGTGCC